TGCTCTGGAAGCAGGGGAGGTCCGGCTGATTTGGGAGGTCTGCTCGCTTGATTCGGGTTCGCTGATTGACGGGCCGGTTCATCTCCGGCGGCTCCATTCGAGGGCCGGTCCGGCGAGCGAGCCAGTCGCCATGGGGAACTGCTGGGGCGCCAAGATCAGCTCCGACAGCTCCTCCTCCTCCCCTTCAGGTGCGTTCTCCTCCGTCTCCTGCTGCGTGCTATTTCACAAATCTTTTTACCACTGTTCTATACCAGCAGCACGACTAGTTCATAACTAATCTGTGCCCAGAGGGTCCAATAAACAAATCCCGAATGAAAAACAAGTGCTCAACAAACCATTCCTCTCTCTCTCTCTCTCTGTCTAATCTGGTGGTCTGGTTTGTGCCGACTTCGTGCTCTGCATCTCTTCTCTCCTCCCCGAAACCAGCCTTCGGTCATGCTGGTTCCATTTCGGTCCAATCCAACTGCTTCAACATTGGGGTAAACAGCAGGTTCAGTTAACTACTGTAGTAACTTAATCCGGTTCCTCCCAAATATCAAGTAGAATACCACCCAATAAATCACTGGTCTGTGTTAACTCTCTACGAGTACTACTTTGCATCTCTTCACTTTTTTCCGGAACTAAAACTAGAACTGGGTGATGCTGATTTCGTTCCGTTTAATCTGCTTCAGATTGTTGAGCCACTAAATTCAGTGCAGCACAAACTTAATTTGTCTCCTATAGGAAAATTCAGTCCATCCTTTGGAAAAATCTGTCGCGAGCTTGGACTCTTCCTCTTGGGCTGCTTCATGTGTAAGGAATCATGCCTTTCCGTTCTGGGCCTAGGGGAGAGGAAGCTTCGGATGTGCATGCTTCTGTTAACTTCATCTGACTTTTCCTCTGATTTTTCTGAGTGCCCAATTCAAATCAGACATGGAGGAAAGCTCAAATTTTGATGCTACTTTTGGCTAAATCCACGTGCTTCCCTTCAAAGTTATTGACTGTCCTGTTTTGGATGTTCAGTCTTCTTTTCTAAGCGAAACTAGAGAGCGAAATGCATATTTAGTCCGACCTAACTTATCCATGATGAACCTATTTTCTGTTCAATGTTAGGCAGATAGGATGAATGATAAGGGACATCAACTTATTTATGCTGAAATGTGATTGAATAATCTCTGAAAGTCTGAACCATCATCCTATAATGACCAGGGACGAATTCCAAGTATGCTAGTAGGAATGGGGCGGCCTTGAGCAGCTCCAGCAGCTATGCCTCCGCGGCGTCAGTGCCACGGAGCGAGGGTGAGATTCTGGAGTCAGCGAATGTCAAGGCCTTCTCTTTCAATGAGCTGAGGACCGCCACGAGAAACTTCCGGCCGGACAGTGTGCTAGGCGAGGGAGGGTTCGGGTCAGTCTTCAAGGGGTGGATCGATGAGAAGACCCTCACCCCAACCAAGCCTGGCACCGGGATGGTCATTGCTGTGAAGAAGCTTAATCAGGAAAGCTATCAGGGCCATAGGGAATGGCTGGTTAGTGACAATTTTGCCTGTTGGAAATGGGATTTCTTATTTATTTCAGTTTTGCATTGTGTCTGACATGCTCTTCCTTTGGGACGCAGGCTGAAGTGAATTACCTTGGACAACTATCGCACCCGAATCTTGTAAAGCTCGTTGGGTACTGTGTTGAAGACGAACAGCGGCTTCTCGTCTATGAGTTCATGCCTCGTGGGAGTTTGGAGAATCATCTCTTTAGGAGTAAGTGCCTGGCCTTTTACTTTCCCTATTCGCTGGGTGTTATTCTACAGTTTTGAAGCAATGATGCTAAGAGTGTTCCAACATTCAGGGAGTACACATTTCCAGCCGCTCTCCTGGAACCTTCGGATGAAAATTGCCCATGGAGCAGCAAAAGGGCTCGCATTTCTCCACAGTGACAAGGCCAAAGTCATCTACCGTGATTTCAAAACCTCTAATATCCTCCTAGATGCGGTATATATATCCACAGCCTTGAAGGATCTTTTACTTTGTGTCCGAAAAATATCTCTATCAGTCGATCTGACAGTCACGCAATTTCTTCTTCAGAACTACGACGCAAAGCTCTCAGATTTTGGCCTGGCGAAGGACGGACCGACCGGTGACAAGAGCCATGTGTCCACAAGGGTGATGGGGACATATGGGTATGCTGCACCAGAATACCTTGCAACAGGTAGCTTGGTCATTCCACTTTCAGAATCCTCAGCTGCACAGATATCTTGCTGAAAATCTAACCACACGTGCCTGAATCGTGATTGCGTTGTCACTCTGGTTGCGTCATCAATCAAGATGCCAAACTTAACTAATTTTTCGGTTACAACCTTTCAATCCTCATGTGCCCAAATATGTTGCTGAAAATCTAAACACATCTACCTGAAACGTGCTTGCATCGTCACTCCGGTTGCGTCATCAACCATCATGCCGAACTTAAACTAATTTTCCTGCTACAACATTTCCATGATCAGGCCACCTGACCACGAAGAGCGACGTGTACAGCTTCGGCGTGGTCCTCCTGGAGATGCTGTCGGGGCGGCGCGCGGTGGACAAGAACCGGCCGACCGGCGAGCACAACCTGGTGGAGTGGGCGCGGCCGTACCTGACGAGCAAGCGGCGCATCTTCCGCGTCCTGGACCCCCGTCTGGGCGGGCAGTACTCCCTCGCCAAGGCCCAGAAGGCGGCGTCGCTGGCGCTGCAGTGCCTCTCGGTGGACTCGAGGAACAGGCCGAGCATGGAGCAGGTCGTCGTGGCGCTGGAGCAGCTCCACGACGCCAAGGAGGGAGGTAACAGCCCTCGCCCGCAGCTGCAGAGGAAGCCGAGCAGCAACCGGAGCCTGACCGGCTCGAGACCATCGTCGACCAAGGGGAACAACAACAGGCCCGCTTCGTCGAGACCGGTTTGACCGGTCGAGTGGGATCACATAGCATAATCTACTAGAGAGATGCGTTGAGGTGTAATGTATGTATGGTATAATAGGGTTTTAGAGTGGTGATCTGCGAAGAGGCAGCGGATTTGTGAATGTTTTGTGCCTGTGTTGTAGGGCTGTACCTTTGCAGCTTCTAGTGTTGGTATGTACAGCTTGTATCTATCCGGTTGTAGCTTCTAGTGTCTGTATGTAGTTCTTTTTGTCAATGCCTGGTTGCTTTGGTTCTGACTCATGAGGTCCAGAGGCTTTGTTTACATCATCTGATTTAGATGCATGCACCCTGTTAAACCAAACCCTTAGAATATGAAGATGAACAGTGTATATTACTATGTAAGAACATATTTGACACTTCATTTATCAAATGTGAATGAACAATCATAGGGATGTTGACCATTTTGTTGATATCATAATCATATAGTGCTAGTATAGTAGTAGTATATGTTCCAGAGAATGTTGGGGAAATCATCTTCTGTAATTTTGAAAAGTTGGCCACACTGATCTTTTTTATTTACTTGGTGGGTTCGGCCAAATTATCCTTGTTTTTTTAGGGGTTACAGCCAAATTATCTGGGCAAGAGTATGGCGGCGGCCCAAGGCAGAGCACGCAGCCCAGCCGCCAAAACAGAGCTCGCCCGCGCTCCCCTCCGGCCCAAGTGCCGCTCCTCCTCCTCCTCGGTCGACGCCGGCGCCGGTGGATGGCTCCGCCGCGCCAAATCGAGCCCCTCACGCCGCGAGCCGCTCCTCCTCCTCAGCCTGCAATCCCCGCCGAGCTCCGATCCCCGCCGCCGTCAGGCTCCTCCGATCCGCGGGCGATCGCCGGGGCGCCGCCAAGATCAGCCCCGGCTCCTCCCGTTCCTTCAGGTGCGCCTTTTTATTCTTCAGTAAAATAGTACACTACACTTTGATAGATAGATTTCAGACTGCTGTACTTCATTAACTGACTAGCAAAGCTGATAGATAGATCTCATCTTCTATGTTCCTGTTGGATGGTAAAAATTTGACATGTGCTCTTCACGGAGGCAATCAGCTAAATAGTATTCCGGCGTCCGATCGACCAGGTTAATACTCACCATAACAAACGGACAGGCTATCGCAACCTGAATGTTTTGATGGTATGGACTATACTAACTGCAAAACCATATGAAAACATCCTTCTGGACAATGTTAGCCCCCGTCGTGATTTATATTACTTTGTTGCAGGCACTGATGCAATGGAGAGATTCTCAATTGTGTTTCCTCATGATATAGTTACTGAGAGTAAACACCATCTATCAGCTTCATGGATTCCACAATTTTGTTTTATGCACCACCAGTACATTGCATCCTCAGTCGGGCATTTATATGCCTTGAATGGAACAATGAAATATCGATGATGGTATTCATATTATAAGGTGAACGGAGAGTATCATATTAATCTTGATGATGGTATTCATATTATTAGGTGAAACGGAGAGTACTCTGAAGACCAGGCTTTGCTTTGTTTTGCAAGGATGGAAATGCCGATGTTCAGTCATTCAGAAAAATATATATTCCAGTGGTATGTTCAAGCTTAGTGTAATTACTGTCTTCTTCGTTCTTGATTTGTTACAATCGTATAAAATACCACTCGAACAACTTAATAAAAATTGACACTAGGTGCTTGGTGCCAGAGACCTTGCACAAACGCCTGCATGCCATATCATCTGATTAGAGACGCTACAGAATAATAAGTCGAGGAACATGTGATTAGATAAGAGATAGAAGAAAATAATAGAATAGTCAAACAATCCAAATCAGAATAGGAGAAGCATTGGGCATACATTGTATATCTCACTCTCACCCACAACCTACTCACACATGCCCCACCGGCAACTTCAAGGTGTTATAATTTCCCCCTTGAAATTACCAAATACTTCTATCATTCTAATTTTCTCTAATAATTTAAACTTCTACCCTTAAGACAGATGGGCGCGGCAACGCACACATTTCTGTTCTAGTGGACATCGTATGAGGCGTCCAAACCAGGGGATGAGTCAGACCTCTTCTCTTCAGGGACCTTTCGACGGCCTTTGTCTTCTCCAGAGTGGCTGCGGCTTTTCCCTTGAGGGAAGGAATTTTCGGCTGTTGAGCACAAAGAAGGGAGCCCGGGCACAAGATCTCAGTCGTTCTCGCCTCAGAGGAGGGGCCCACATTCCCTGTCATCGGCTCCTCGGAGGACACACTGATAGAGTACTGAGGGCCCTCTTGTCCCGGAGGCGCTCACTACATGATTGACTAGCAAGCCTCCCAACTGTTAGGAAATGGAAAGCTGAGATGCAAAGGAAGTAAGGAACATAAAACAAGCAAACCAACGGGAGGAAAGAGTTAGCGCACGTGGAAGACAGAAAGCCGGCACAAGCCCATAGTAGGAAGGCGCGTGCCATCATAGGCGGCTCACAGTTGTTGGTCTCGCACCTTTGACATGATTCGCAAGGCTGTGAGCCCTGCCTAGCACCTCCTTACCGAGGCACCATGGGATGTCACCCAAGGTGGTCAGCGCCCACATGGGTTGACATCTCAAGTGCGTGGGCTAGATCCGACTCCTGATGAACTCATCCATGATCCCCCTTCCCAAGAGCCCTTTCCTCACCAAGGCCGAGATGAGAGGCTCTAGAGCCTGGCCGCTTTTAGGTCCACCTGAGAAGGATCTCCTCCTAGGACCTAATAGTTGATGGCTCCGTAGTGCTGAACGCCATCACGCCATCAGGGCCTGCATTGGCGCAGTAGAACCGTAGGTTGTGCCAACCCATGTTTGAGGAAGAGGGGTGATGATCTGCGGCGCCCCCTTGATGCTCTTCCTGGTGAAGCAAGGGCATCTGACTTGAGAGAGCTCTTCCTTGGAGAAGTAAAGCTTAGTGAAAAATAGAGCTTTCCATAAAAGCAAAGTCGGGCTTGACCCCCAAGAAGCCTTCACAGAACGCGATGAACTCGATCACCTGAAGGACCCTGTTGGGATTCAGGTTGTGGATCTCCAACTCATAATACTGGAGCAACCCACGAAGGAAGGGGTGGACCGTGAGAGAGAATCACCTCTTGAAAAGGGGGCTAAAGATCATCACCCACGCCCTCTAAAGGTTGTGGGGTACTCTCCTCGGGACAACGCCACTGAAGATCATGGAGGAAGACAGCCAAACCTTGCAACCTCTCCATCTCGTCGAGGGAGAAGGAGGAGCGTCTCCAAATGACGGGCTCCCTTGCCCCCTCTCCTCACTGGAGGTCACCTATGGAGCCCTCGCCGTTTCAGAGTACTCTTCCCCATCCACGACGTTCTCCTCCGCAGCTTCTTCTCCTCCCCGGCGTCGGCAAGTACAACGCCGGGCATCGGCCCACGTGCCGCATCTAATGTCGCCCGTGCCTTGAGCTTAGAATGTAGAATGATTGTGTTCGGCTGCCCCCTCGATTCGGCCGGTGGCGAGGCCGATGTGGGGATAACCATTACCGATGGAACTCCGTTGTGAGGCTCGGGGACAAAGGGGAAGATGGCTCCATGAGAGCTCGAGGTGAGCCATGGAAATGCATGGCGGTGGCACTTGAGTGCGGAGGACGCGGTGAAGGAGATGCAAACTCCTATGGGGGAAATTGGGGAAGAGATGTGACGGACCCTACCGCTTCTTCCCGAACCTCCTTAAATAAAGCAGGGGGGTCCAAAGAGTTCCATACCCGAGGCGTCGTCAGGCATCACAATGCAGCCAATCAAAGCTTCGATGTGACAAGACGTGTCAGTGGCCCTCGGTCCTGCTGATGCCATCAATACCCTTTCTCTCCTTGCGGAACTGAACCGAACCCACTAATAGCGCGAGGTGTCCCGAGAACCTCCCAAAAGACATTGTGTCATGGGGGGGGGGGGACCTCTCCTTTGATCATGGCAATGGAGGTCGGGGAGTTAAGATACTACCATTGAACGGAGCACCACAGAAGGATCAGGCAGACAACAAGTCTCGCGTCGTCCCGCCCGAGGACGCGGAGGTGCAATGGGGCTACTATTGAGGGATCTGAAGATCAATGCGCCCTTGAAGGATGTGTAACTATGTTACTGGGATTGTGGTGCAGCTGCCATATGTGAGCGGCGGGTGGCAAATAATGTTGAACTTGTTCATGACGGTGATACTAGCAACACTAAGGCTAGTACCATAAGGTTCTAAAGCTACTATAGTATGATTGAACTCTAGTTTGGTCTGGACTTGTTCTATATATATGTTCTTAGCAGAATTGAACTCTAGTTTGGTCTGGACTTGTAAGACTATGAAATCTAGTCATCTGTTCGTAATTAGTGTGCAATCCATAATGCTTTACACATGATGCTCCACAACCAAATGTATGTGATGTTTCCTTTCATCACACACAATTACTTTAACACAATCGTGTGCCTAGTAGAGTATATAATAATCCCAACACAATTATATGCGCTATCACAAGTTAGCGCACACGATTTGGATGGAGCCAACCATGTGCGGCACTTCACACGTGGTGGCCCTGTTTTGTAACGACTGTGTTGTTTCCCCATCATCGCACACAATTCATTGATTTTGATCGTGTGCCATGTAGCCTGCACTATTGTGGTGATGTAATCGTTTGCGCTATCATGAGTTATCACACATAGGATGGACAACCTAACCGTGTGCCCGTTATCGCACATGACTCTTTTCAAAATCATGCCCGATGGATCAGCCATCGCGCGCATTTGACTCTCAGGCACCTAATTTGATTTTTGTAACGTGTGTGATACGTGTGATAACCTGCATCACAATGCTAAGGTGTGCGATAGGTGGAGGCGTGGAGCTTAATAGTACCATTTTGCACCAGTGTTTGGAACGTAATCACAAACCAAACTGCCCGTGATTCTGGATAGATCGTTACCATTAAATTATAGATCCAATCATTCAAATATAATGATGCATACCAACGTGATGCCTCGAAAGGAGCCCCGTATTATGCTTTTAGTATATAATAGATAGATAGAATATTCCTCAGGATGATCAAGTGCAACACATTTACTTCCACTCATACTGGATCACCAGCAATATGATATTTAAGTCTCTTCCCATTGACAACCCTTGATTTACCATTAACATCACCTTCGAGTCTTATGGCCCTGATGGATAAATACCAGCAGTGGTATGGTGACCATAGGCATGCAGGACAAATATGTTGGTAGGTAACTAGGTATGGTCCAGTGGGGCACGGACACGTCAATGCACAGGAGCCTCATGATCTATCTCGCACATGGTGTGTATGCATCTGATAAGCTCGAGATTACAATTTCCATCTGAAAAGGAGGGGAACCGAGCAGCAGAGGCATGCTGGAGCACCATGCTGCTCCTGCCTTATCCCTCTACTTTTCCCCCCATCTCTAGCTACCAACACCTAATGCTCAGCTGGGTCATACATAACATAATTAAGTTTAGTGCGTGTAGATAAGAGATAACTCTTGCCCCACAAATTGGCCAACACATACATGTACACCAGCCAGACAATCACAAGCTGATGAGGAAGGAAGAAGAGTAGCAGCTGCTGGGCCCGGTGGAATAATCAGATAGAGTCAATCATATGCACACAGAGATGTCAACTACAAGCATATGCATGTCAAATATGTGCAAATATATCTCTTTTCTTTTGTTCAGACCCAATGAGCCTCTACCACCATAGCTTTTGGTGATTTGCCCTCACAATGATCTGATATGATCTGATCCTGACAAGGAGGTGCCATCTCTCCACATGCACTTACCTTTTCTCCCCACTCTTCGAGCAGGAGAAGTCTCCCAGAGCAAGTTCACTGCATGCTCATCAGGCAGTTGTGACTAGTCATTTTGAGTTGTCAACTAAAGGTGCCATTGATCTGATAAAAGCTCAAATTAGCTGTCCCTTTGTTTGGCGGGGAAAAGCTCAAAGTTGCTGTGAAGGAGACTGAAGGAATATACCACATGGTAGTTCGTCTGCCAATAATGCAATCAGCCCAAGCGATGGCTCACAATATGGCTTTACCGAGGTACTTGGGACCAGCTGGCACGAGCTTGCTTTCTTTGGATCACTAATGCTTCCCTTTACTAGCCGAATGGAGCACCAGAAACTGAACTTTCCAATCTCCTGTTCTGATTCTGCTCATGCCGTTGCCATGTTCCTTTACTAGCTAGCCTCATCCTGTATGGCAGACAAGTGGTGAGATGAGATAGGTCAACTGGGTTCCAAGCTCCCGGCCGGAGCGCTGACTACTGAGAGGGAAAAGGACTTAACCAGATCAATTGATATATGCCCCCACCCGCTACCATAGGCATGCATCTTCATTGCCTAACTAATACACGTGTCCATGATCACAGCCTATGGTTTCAACAGTTATATTCCTGGCTCCCATATATCT